TTCCATGATGTCACCATGTGAGTAACGCATAAGTCAGGTGTAGAGTTTCAGGAAGAAGAGGTAAGTCAGTTGACGAGGTTGTGAACCTTCATCGACTGAGATGGTTGGCTCCGACACGTGTTACGTATGCCTAGTCACCGATTGCCTCGTCACACAATGTTGGCCGAAGTAGGTCCAGGCTGGAAAAAGCCTGAGGCGGCCAGACTAAAACATGCACTAATGTATGAAGTCTTTGGCTGTTGGTTTGAGCCATGCCGGGCGATGCAGACTAGCCGGTTGGGGTCCGCGGGACAAGAGGAACCAGTAGTTGGAAACTCTAGGTGATATGGCTCACAACCGATGTCAGTGGCGCATATATGTCCCCACACACATTATCCTCATCTTGACGCTATACCGAATCTCACCATTTTCTCATTCATTCTTTCTCTCTTTTCGTACTTAGTATTTCTTTTGACTGGGTTTTCTTTTCTTCATCTTGGACTTCACTGCCCTTTTACTTGATGTACTGATATGAGGTGTGGCAACTCGGACCATTGGCAGTAATGCCTGGTCCTATGCTGGTTTCGACGATGTATGATGGAGAGAATAAAAAATGCGCTGTATTCAAAATTACGACCAGAACAGGTTGGCTGGCTTCAAGAAGAACAAATCATGTACGGATCAAATTGCTACGCTACTCTATACTACACATCATCATAAAACAGAGCATAGAATGGCAGTCACCTCAACTCAACTCTACCTTAACTTCATCGATTTTGAAAAGCCCATCTATCAAGGCGTCATCTGAGAAGTAATTTAGCAAGCAGCTGCTTCAACACTACGGTTTTAGTGCCACAAACCTTTATCAACTTCATTCAAAAGCTATATGCTACATGGTACTACATGCCAAGTGATTCACAATGGAAAGTTCAGTGATGCCATTGAAGTGAAGACAGGAGTGATACAAGTTTGCTGCCTACCACCACCGATGATCCTCCTGATTGTGGTTGACTCGACTCGACTTGACTGGATACTGCAACAAACTGTGAGGAGCAGTGAGAAGATGGGCATACTCTGTTTGACCGATGCAATGAAAAGAGCCTAGAAGATTTGGATTTCGCCGCCGATGATGATGATTTATTTCTAATGTTTTGTCGCACAAACTCGAAGATCTACAGGCTAAAACTAACAAGTTGGCAGAAGAGGCGAGGCAGAGCAGAGAAGACGGGACCTCCTCCAAGTGAACGTGAAGAAGACGGAGGTGATGGAGATACCTAACCAACAACAAGAACAACAACTACAAGCACTAATCACCATCGACGGGAAGAATCTAGAGGAAGTTGTCTCCTTCATCTACCTACCTAGGCAGCATCGCTTCAACTACAAGCGGCGTGTCGGTGGCACAGATGAGGAGGTCAAAGCAGCTAGGATCAAAAAGACAGCAAGATAGGCCTTCATTAATCTGAAACCAGTGTGGAGATCTACTACACTCAGCATAAAGAACATCCGAGTGAGTGGTGTGCCTCTGGCTTAACTGATTAACACTCTAGTTGATGGACATTTAAATTCCAGCAAGCAACTAGCTACAGAAATTTTAACTGACAATGAGCATCCACTTCATTCACAGCTCTCTCCATGTATCTTCTCAGGGAGGACAAGAAGAAACTACATAAGACTACTGTCGTACAGCTAAGTATAAGAATTCGATTGTACATTACCTAACACGCGTATTTTGTGAGGAAAAAAGTGTTAGAACAGAAATCACACATCGACTTTGTAACAGTTAAAAATCTCATTTCAATTATTTAACTATAGTGTAAAATTCCCTTGTTTTTAATATTCTTTTCATTACTTGAATTTTTATAATAACACAGTTCGAAATGTTGTAAAGGATTATGTATATACACATATTTTGTTGCTGTTGCAACATATCATGCTGAGAATTCCAAACTGTACCACAAATTGTTTGGAATAAAGTGAGTTATTATTATTATTATCATCATTAATATTAAGATCTGGATTTTCAACACCAACGTTTTTAGGCACACGTATAAGAATGCTTCAACTAATGCATGAACGCTGTCCAAACATGTGTTCCAAAAGGAGTGGCGATCTTTCACCGATCCTCTTCAGCTATAACTCGTAGCTAGATGGGTTATCTTTGTCTACCATCAAGTTGAGGTGGATGAACACCACGCCAGACAATGCTTCCCTCTATGTATGAAGTTCATGATCAAGTGAAACGTCCTTTGTAGAACGAATATATGGGTTCCGATAGCTGCTACTTTGATGTGGTAGTCGGTTTTGTATATCACAATGACCCAATGAGCTATGTTGGTGGAATGTTTGTTCACTCGAGACCCACATTATTATTGTTATCATTATTATTGCTATCATTATTACCATTAGAATACAAACATGGCACAGGAAGAGCAACAAGAAACGCACTACACAAAATAGTATAACAATATTGTGAAGACATAAAGCGATGGGAAGTGGACTAGCAAAAAAGAAGGACAATAAGAGTAGCATGATTAGAAGGGCAGTTCAGTAAGATACGTTCGAAACGAAATGTTCATCACTCTTCAGTAGCAGAAGATAGAAGGAAGCTACGGCATGACCGCCACTGGTTTCGATTCTGGGCTATATCTGATAACGTCTCAAGCCACTGAGTTGCGTGGTCTGTCGGACCCCAACCAGAGAGTCGTGATGCACCGACAGGTGCTTACCCGACGCGAATATCCTTCATCCCAAGGCGCCATGTCATACATAGGACACTCCTCTGCTTCGTCCATCTACTCCTAGGGCTAGCAAAAAATGAATGGTATGGAAGCCGTGGGGACGACATGAGTAACAAATGCCCAAGCCACCGAATCCCATGTTTCCAGATGACTTCACTTATTGAATGACGATGTCCATCATTCTCAGACATAGGCTGTCGTACCTCGGAATTACTAACATGGGTTTGTTACTGAATACGAGCAATCCTACGGAGGCAACGATGGTCGAACATACATAGAGTTGTCGCATATCCTAAGCTAGAAGAGGCCAGGTTTCACAGGCGTAAAAAAGAACTGGTAGTACCGAAGCGTTGTAAACCCGACCTTTTACGGTCAGGCTAACGGTGCGACGGCACCAAGCGTGGTCCAGATTGGTGTATGCCCCTCTAGCTTTCGACATGCGGTTTGAAATTTCACAGCTCACACCTCCACCAGCATTGACACGACTACCCAGATACACGAACTTTTCAACCACTTCCAATGGCTCAACACCAAGAGTGAGCGCAGGCGCAGGCTCCTGTCAATCTTGCAAAAATACTTAGCACTTCGAAGGTGCAAAGCACATGCCATATTTACGGACACTAATCGCCAACAGATTAATTGCTATTTGAGTAACCTGTGTGTTATCACACAATAAGATGATATCATCCACATATTCAAAATCGAGTGGCCGTTCTCCAGATAGCAGATCTACACCACCATCATACACCTCTTTCAGAGCTGTCTCAAGAATGTCATCAGTGGTAAAGTTAAAGAAAGGAGAAATCATGCAACCCCGCCCAACCCCACTGCTGATTAGAAACAATGGAGACAGGTGGTTGTATCCCTTCACTCTACCTGAGGTGTTATTAATAATAAATTTCCGTGTCAGATGTCGCTATGCCAGGAAGATCAGTTGGATAATGGTCAGACAAAAAGCGGTTAACATGATAGTGTAAACTGCTACACTATGATGGGAGTCTGAGGGCAAAGTCGTACTGCTGCTAGCTGGATGGGGTGTGACAACAGTAAAGTGTTTCCCATGAATGACCAACAGTGTCATTCTGATGATGCTTTCCCTATGGGAAGGAGAGTTTAGAAAAGGTCGGTCCTAAAAATGGTACACTGCCATCACGCTGCGGCTTGCCGATGTCTACAAAAGGGACTCATGGTCAGATTCTAAAGCACTAAACTTGTAAAAAACCATATGTGACAGGCAATAAGCATGTATCTCTTGAACTCTGTGATCACCCACTATCCCTTCTTTTTCACGTACCTCAAGAAGAACTAGCCCTCCGCAATGTCAGTAACCAGGAAGTGTCGACCACATACGCCTCCAGTAGTACACAAGACTCCATCAAACATAACCTATCCTCTTCAACTGTCTCCTTTGCCTTCACCTAATAACAATATAAAGCCTCTTACACCTTACCCAAACTCTCATTCTGCAACCACTGATAACGATCAAAGCTATTGATACCTCATTCCAAGTCACCTAAGACCCCACCCGCCATCGACTTCATGTAGGGGCTTTCAACAAACTCTATGCCAAATTGAACAGCAAGCTACGCTCACTAAAACTCTAGAATCTCTAGTCATGGATTTATGCTGTATTTCTGAGACACATGTACACGATCTGAGTGTGGTTATTAAATTGACCCCGCTTGACCAAACTAGTAAATCTCCAAACTTCACCTTACGGGTATCCGGAGACCCAGAGGTTAGCTCTTGTGGACTTGCTGATGTATGCCTAGCAATGAGCTGTAGGGCAGAAAGTGCGCTTCTCGATTGGATGCCAGACAACAGCCGGTTATAGGCTGTTCGGCTGAATGGATCTGTGAAGAGTAAGAAGGATCGTGAGACTGTGACGGCTACTCGTAATCTCTACGTACGCACCAACTGACTGTAGTTCGCATGATGCACAGGACGAATTTTATGGAAATCTTCTTTGAAGTCTCTACCCATAACTGCCAGATATCCGCTAAAAACACTGAGTTAATCTTGAAGTCTCTCAAATAACCGAATTGGTATTAGTGTATCTTAACTAAATTAAAGTAAACAAAACACTTAACAATAATTCTATATGCATAAGCGACTTGGAATAGTGAGTAAATGCACTCAGTGGATCATTGTGAACTTCTTCAGCTAAACAGATTATTCTGAATTAACCAGATTGTGATTTTATCGGTAACGCCAAATAGGTTTAAGTGTAATCCATCAATACTTTATAATTTCATAAAGATATACAAACCGAATACTTACCGTCTGTAAGAGTGGGTCCAATCTTTTAGTGTGCGAAAAATAAAAGCAACGATGATCTGACACAGCATTATTCTTGTAAGCTTTCAACACAACGACTGACTGCAGAAAGTGAAAAGCATGTTTTTTTTGATTAGTCAGAAAAAATGATGAGACGAAGTAATCATAATCATTCATAACAATAATAATAATAACGCACCGCACCAACTAAGAACAAGTTTTACAGGTGGAGAACGAGCGATAGTTAACATATTAGAGCCAAAAATAGCATTGACCTGTCAAAAGAATAATAGGCAGTGTTAAGTTGGATACCTAAACTACTGGATTACAGATAATGCATCCTTGACCTGGAAAATGTCAAAAAATTCTCTCAAAAATTAAAAATATGTCAAATATTTTACCTAAAAATTACAAACACCTCAAAGTCCGCCCGAATGGGTATGGTATTTTCATAAACAGTATCTGAAGTTTACTCAAATTTATCGAAATTGTCTGCGGCGCACACAACTTTCTGGACATAATGCACATAAACTCCCAGGAAGCAGCGCATGAGACAAGCATTTACATATGTGAATGCTGAGTAGAAGAATACGAAATGCGCGAAATTCTGATGCTATTCTAGAGATTGTAATGTCGTGAAGTACAACTTAAACCTTGAACGCGCCCAAAAGTTTCAAACTGCACCCAAATTTGATTCCTGGAGTGATCCAAAAATCTTATTTTAAATTCAGGCCTTATTGGTATTATAATAATCACAAAATATCTGAAATCACTTCGGTATGCTCATTTTTCTTACACGTTGAAACCCATGTAATTGCAGGAGACTACAAAGAATTAGGATTCCAGACAGCATGACCTTCATTTCAAATAGCCCTGTGTTAAACTACTGTCCAACTTCTAACTTCGTGTTGTGAAAAAAACGAACAATTGGTCTTTGTGTTCTGCATCTACCTTAGTGAAAGATGTCCTTTGTTTGGAATGTTCATTTGTCTCCTAGGTTCAAAGAAAGTTCAAACGATAGGGATAATCAATACCTCAAAACTTCAAACTTCATATTGTAGAATTAGTGAACGGCGGTCCCTTGAGTCCTATCTCTGTCTTGTTGTAGTATTTTCTGCTTTCGAAATGGTCTTTATTATCTTCCTGGTTCCGAAAAACCTGAAGGGATAAAGGTAATCGGTTATTAATAGATCTGGTCTGAAGGCAGTATAACTGCACCTGATCTGCAGGTGACGGAAAGCTTCTCGAGTACAGCCGACCAGTACCGTAAGACTCGTGGCGTGTGTTTAACCTCCTTTTGAAAGTATCAAAGGATGGGGCTGTAACAATTGCTGAAGGAAAGGAGTCCCGCAGTTTACAAACTGTAGCCGCAAATGAGTTAGCACGGATCTTTGTGCGTGCTGTCTCATGCTGTATTCTTAATTGGAAACGCTATCCCTCAGGTCGCTCTAAGAAGAGATCTATTAGGATGAAGGGACTATAGGCGATCATCTGGTATTGTAATGGATGCAGCTTACGAGCAACTAAGAGGTCTGGGCACGACTGGGCAGCAACCCAATTACTTTCTTTGTAGCTCTTCTCTGTACCCGTTTCAGGATGTACATGTCATTCTTCAAGTATGGGGACATCACGGGCGAATTTTTCTTCAGGTGAGAGCGGATTTACAGAGAATAAATTGTGTTGAAAAGATGAGTTGCACTTCCTAGAGTTCGCGAAAGAATCCCCAAGGCTCCATAGGTCTTGTTGGCCACGAGGTGACTGTGGATTGAAGCAACTAGTGTGTCGCCTAATGTAACTCCCAGATCTTGTTCCATGTTAGAGTGACAGATATTTATTTCGCAGAGAGTAGGAACTGCGACTGTTTTTTATTCGTCGGCTGTCACTATCCAATACTTATTAGAATCGAGAGGGAGCAGGTTTTCTGTGGTCCAATTAAGAATTTCCGTAAGGCCCTATTGGAAGGCCAAAATATCCGTTGGCACCTATATTTCCTTCAGACTCTTCACATCATCGGCATATAATACTGAATGAGAGTCGTAGGCCCCTGGTAGGTTACTGGCAAAACCAATAGGACCTTCAATATCCAATATCTTTTTAACGAGCTTGTGTAAACCAATTGATTTCTTCGCGCTCGCTTCTTGGTCTTGCGTAACGACTCCAGATCTTTAGCGGATTCCGATGCAGTAGGTCTAGCCACTCGTCTGCTATAGCTGTGATTTACAGAACGGGAAGTTAAGTGTTGATTTGTTTGCCTTGGACTGAGCGGCTGTTGGCTTCTTCAGATGTCGAGTTGCCAGACAATTGTTAGGACTGGTCGCTAGAGAGGGTTGGGGATAGTGAAGAGAGGACCCAGAAAGTGTTTGTGTAAGTAGAAGAAAAGAGGAAAAGTGAACCAATGGAGTAATCTACTAAACACCCACGTAAGGCGAGTAGGGGTGCAAAGGTATGAAGAACTTAGGTAAGTGAGGCTAACTTATGGCAAGTGGAAAGGGGAAAATGGCTTAAATGGTTACAGTAAAAAGGAACTTTCCAGCGTCTCTAGTTGAGCCTAGAGTCACTCTCGTTGGGGAGGCTCCCCTGCGGGTGGGTGGGTGCCTTTGTATAGTCGGCACAGTCTTGCCTCAAGAACGCCCAGACCTAGCATGGCACAGAGGGAATCCCACTGCCGCCTGTCAAACTTGTCCTTATGTTCCAGAAGGCTATCATCACAGACGGGAACGTTTAACAGAACGACAGAGCTAGATCGGTCAGTGATACCAATATTATTCGATGCTGTAGGTGCTTTTTCACGGGTGATTCGGGTCTTTTTTCCACCGTGACCCATTCTCTATGTTGTCCACTGATTGCTGTTTCTGGTGCGGCCCCACGGCTTGAGGTGGATGCCGTTGTCGTTGGTGTAGGCAGTGTTTTGTTCGGCTTAGAACCTCTCAGGTTTTTGGTCTTCAGTAGGCCATTGACAAAATCATCTGGAGAGTGAATATCCTCTCTTACGGTGGTTTGGACGGATACCTGCTTTTTGATTACGGGAGATTTATCGGTTACTCTGAGTAAGCCTGAAGCTAGGTGCGGTCTCAGACGGTACTGTGGGCAAATGTACCAAAACCACGTGCACGGGTGATGCGTCATGAAGCTATAGTAGTGATGTGGCACTTTGCCACATCGGTAGTACACCCACCTGTTGCACCCAAAGGCAGCATCACTTTTAGTGACAGTGAGAGCACATGTGTGGCATTTGTCATCATGTTCTTGAGGTTTTCCCAAACGTTTATGCCCTACTCTTTGACGTTTCCGCTTAGTGGTTCTCACCGGAGGATCGGGGTGGGCTCAGGGAGTAGCATGGGGCTCTGGGTTTACTTGACTGGGTAAAGTGACGTTTACAGTGCCGGGAGAACTGGTTGCACGGCTAACTTCAAGTGCTATAAGCCGTGATTGTGACCGATCGAGAGAGGTGGACTTTGGCGGTGCGTTTGCATCCTCAGTTGCTTTCTTTGCCACCTTTTGGCGTTTCGTAGCTCCAGCCCTAGTAACTACTGAGAATGAGGTGGTCAGTGACTGCGGCGAGGTTGTACTCAAAGCATTTCTACCGCTTGCCTTTTTCGGGGTCAGCACACTTTTACCATGCACATTAATGCTAATGAACAGATGAAGATAAGAGGAGTAGAGCGCTGAAAATGCGCAGCAGTAAACAGAAGACTTTCGACCTTACCTTCAATTGTCTGTCCCTGCAACTCTGTCGAAGTTCAAAAACTACCGAGTCCTGGAGGTGGATGTTAGTGAGATATATTTTGCTGCAGATACAGCAATCTGAGCTGTAACAGTTGGTCGAGACAGCTAGACCTACCACACAGTTGTCCGTTTGGAGCGAAATGGTGGTGATGAAGTAAGCAGTGATATTTTCTGCAGCAAGATTGCTGCAGAGGCTGAGAACACAGAAGTTGTTTACCCCGATGAACTGATTTGTGAAGAATAATCTGGTCGGGACGCCATACCATCAAACCCCTAGCGAGTTAGTGAGAGACGTGTTCGGTCAAGGAGTTTTCCAGCAACAATTCCCGAGGGGTTTTTAAAGCGCCAGATGGATTTTCAGTGGTAAAGAGTTGAGGAAAGTTATGATCCCCCATAATGAGGACCTGTGGAATGTTCAGTTTGAGAGTTGCTCTAGTAAATTGTATTAACATTTTATCTAACGCGGTAGCGGCTCCAGAAAAGCAGTATGAAACACAAACCGCAATAATCAGCCTGCCGTGGGTGGTGCTGCTACACTTGGTTTATAAAACAAGGTACAGTTACTTAGGTATAGCTCTTTTGTACCAAAGTACTTTGGGTTTGCTTCTAGTCCCCCCTTCGAGGCATCAGGAGAAGGAACCGTTACAATTTCTTCACGAAAGAATCTCCACAGTTTACACATTGTAACCGCCAATGAGTCAGTGTAGATCATCGAACGTGCTCTATAATGCTGTACTCCCTAAAGGTGACTCCTAAGGTGGTGTTTGCGATTAAAAGCTAAAAAGCAGTTGGCTTGAATTAAGGGAATTGTTGGAGACACCACAAACGATGGCCACATTCTTTGTGTCCTTCCTTATTGTACCAAACGCATCTTACGAGGAGCTGAACAATCCATATATGGTTTGTACCGTAGCCTAATCAATTCCTTCGTGGGCCTTTTCCGGACAGTTCTCGGCTTCCTATGTCCTCATCCAAGTTTGGGGATATGACTGCCAAGTTTTTCCTTAGTTCAGGAGGATATACACGTTGCGATTAAAAGACCCCTCGTTATACTCCCTGGAGTTACAGACAGAAACTCTAGGACTCCATACGCCCTGTTGACTTTAAGGTGAAATAGGACAGACTCATCGTATATGTCAGTTCCAGAAACCCCTTGCTCCTTTTGAGTGCTTATACGAGAGAGGCTTACTCCCCATGGGGAATAATAACGTAAGTGATATCTGTCCTTGTTGACCGTTAATGTTCAACACCTCGCGTCGGGAAGCAGCCGGTATTCAGTTGCGCGGTCAACGATTTTAGAAAGGTTCCCCCATATGGCGAAGATACCCATTGGCCCTTATATCTCGCTCCAGGCCTTGAGATCATAATCACATGACAGCAAGTGGGAGCTTGGGGTTGCTGGTGCGTCATTTATAGAGACAAGAAACGGCAATGGACTGAGAATGGTCGCT